GATGTAGATTCTTTGATTTCTCATAAGGTGCCGGCGGAGTCCTAAAAGCAACATCCGCCGATCCCTGGTCGGCATCGTTTATGGTTCCGAATTTTACATATTACGCAAAATTACCCAGATCCCCTTTTCTTCTTCGCAATTTTGGGGTCTGCCTCTCTTCGATTTCAACTCCCTTCTTGCTATAATCCATGGGTAATCACAGAAATAAGCATAAATCCACCGCCAGTAAGTCAACGCAGATGACCCAGAGCAAAAAACTCCACATCGAAGACGAAGGGTCTGATTTGCAATTCACGACAGAAAAAGAGGCGTTCTTCGTCAAGAACGGGTCAGATCTGCAATTTCCGACAGAAAAAGATGTGTTCTCTGCCAAAAACATTGACGAAAATTTGAAGAGGACCCAAGCCGGTGAAGCTCCATCCATGGCGGCGATTGAGAAGCACGGGTCAGATCTGAAATTTCCGACAGAAAAAGACGCGTTCTCTGCCAAGAGCATTGACGAAAACTCGAAGGGAACCCAGGCCGGTGAAGATCCATCCATGGCGTCGATTAAGAAGCAGAGACACGAATTTACGGCACATGCAGATGAAGATGCAGCGACCCAGAAAGAAATAGGGTTCTTCGACAAAAGCACCTACGAACAGCTCAATGGTACCCAGAGTGACGGAGCTCTCTCTCTTTCGATTGCGAGGAAGGAAAAGCAAGCCCAGATCCACATTAACGAATCCACCAGCCCGCAGCACCAAGATTTCGACAGCTCTTCGTCTGGATCTGAAAAGGAATTTCAAGGTATGAACACTGTATCGACCTCAGCTTCTATTTCTCGAACTTTGGGCGATGATGATTCTGTAGCGAGTATTGGGGCTGAGTATGATGACGCATCTGTTAGTTGCTCTGTGAGCACACGACCGGTTCAATCCACACAGATTTTGCAAAATTCAGACAAACCAGCTACTGCCGACAAGGTGTTTGTGAAAATGCCTGAACCAGATCCCCACTACAGGAAGCAAGCAGATCTCCCAAAAAACACACCCAAAGCCCCCTTTAACTCCCTATTTGCGCAAAACAGAGTCCCAAAGAACGGATTTCAGCTACCGAATTTCCCACAAGAAAAGGAAGAAGACGATATGATCTTTCAAACGACTGATGAAACTGAAATTGAAGACACCTTCGGAATCTGCCTCCTTGGATATTTTGCCGGAAAATTTCCTGGGAAACAAGCTCTAGCAGCCATCTGCGATGCATGGGAGGTCAAATATACCTACAAAAGCCACGATAATGGATGGCTGATTTTCACATTCGACAATGAGGCAGACAAGAACAAAGTACTAGAAGGAGGCCCCTACACGGTCTTTGATAGGCAGCTTCATATGAAACCGATGGCGAGGTACTTTAATTTTGACCCGAACGAAATGTGTATTGTTCCGGTGTGGGTGAAATTGCATAACTGGCCCCCGATCTACTGGAATGAAGTTGCTCTAGGCAAATTTGCTAGCAAACTGGGTACTCCGATATGTTCTGATGCGCTGACTAAAGAAAAACTGAAAATCTCGTATGCTAGGCTCTTGGTGAATGTGGATGCTTCGAAACCTCTCAGAGAAGAGGTGAAAATCGTCTATCCAGATGGAACGGCAACAATGCAGAAAATCGAGTATGAATACAAGCCCAAATATTGCTCCCACTGCAAAACTCTCGCGCATAATACGGCTAACTGCCCAATTCTGTACCCCCCAGCTGAGCCTAAGGTGATTCCGGTCAAGAAAGATCCGAAGCCACCGGAACAAATCTGGAAACAGATTATTCGAGGGAAAGCTACACCTGTTAATACTCACACATATTTTGAGGAGCCGTCTCAAGATGATCTACATGCAGAATCCTTGATCACAGCTTTTGTCGGGAACCATGCAAAAGAACCGGACCCACCCTATTATGACAGCAAGCAATCCGATTCAACTCCAAACGCACCTACCGAACCCACGAAGGAGGGAGAATTCCTCAACTTAGGGCACTTTACCCGGTATAACGGACCTTGGGCACCATTGGCTGACCAAGAGGAAGTGCAGCAGTTCGAACCTAATTTCAAACCGGTGAGGAAGCAGCCGATGCAGCAAGACAGATCAAGCAAGCAACATCTGGGACAACACAGATGGGGATACGACAAGGGGCAGGGCAGTAGTGCTAGGAAGGCCTATGGCCTTTCCTTAGCGCAATGATTATATCTACGTGGAATATCAGGGGCTTTAACAAGCCCCTGAAGCAGAATGGGATCAGGGATCTCATTCTTAAGAATAATATCGACATTTTTGGTATTTTGGAAACGAAAGTCAAAACTCAAGCGCTGGTCGATAAAATAATGCAGAACAAGTTCAGTGGTATGTCGGAAGCCAACAATTTATGTCAGCACAGTGGGGGCAGAATACTCATCATTTGGAACCCGTCTAAGGTGCACCTTGAAATCAGAAGCATGATCAATCAAGCGATTCACTGTTATGCTACGTGTAAAATCACCTCAATGGAATTTCACATCTCATTTGTGTATGGATTATACTCAAATTCAGATAGGAAATCGCTATGGCAATCTATTGACAAATATGGGGAGAATCTTCGGGAACCATGGCTAATCCTTGGTGATTTCAACTGTGTTCTCAGTCCGGAAGAGAAGATAGGGGGTAACGAACCTATCCCATATGCCATAAGGGATTTTAATGATTGCATGCAAACAAATGGGATCTCAGATCTCCCGTTTAATGGCTGCCACATGACCTGGTCCAACTCCGGAACAGATAACATCATTTGGAGCAAACTTGATAGAGCCATGGTGAATCAATGGTGGTTTCAAACCCCAAATCAAGCAAATTTTCAGAGCTCGGTAACTTTTCAACCCTCGGGCGTCCTATCTGACCACTCCCCATGCATCATCAATCTCTCCTCAGCGCCTAAGGTACCGAAAAAAGCTTTCAAATTTTTCAATATGTGGGTTCAGCATCCGAGATTCAAAGAAATTGTGCAAGAAAACTGGAACATGAGGATCTATGGTACGGCTCAGTACAGGCTTTGTAAAAAGCTTAAAGTATTGAAAAAATCGCTTACTGCCCTCAATCAGCAAGAGTTCAGTCACATATCACAACGGGCAGCAAAGGCGAAGAAAGAGCTTGAAGATTTCCAAATTCTTATGCAATCAGACCTCAATAACCGTGATCTCGCACAAGAAATAAAAAACAAAACAGCTAGAACTAGATTCCTTCTGGAAGCCGAAAGGAGTTTTCTGTCCCAAAAAGCAAAAAACAACTACATCAAGCATGCCGATAGAAGCAACAAAGTGTTCTATGGTGTCATCAATAAACGAGCAAAGAGAAATCACATTGCATCTGTTATTAAAGAGGATGGTGCAGCTACCACATCAGAAGAAGAAGTAATTTCAGAATTTATTTACTTCTATGAGGAACTCCTTGGATCAGCCGATCACTGCACTCCCATTAACAGCGATATTATCAAATTCGGGCCAATTCTGAGTGAAGACCAAGGAAGAGAACTTATCAAACCGATATCTGTCCAAGAGATCCGGTATGCTCTCCAAGAGATTGGTGACGACAAATCCCCGGGGCCGGATGGATATAACTCATTTTTCTTCAAGAAAGCGTGGTCTACAGTCGGAAGAGATGTAATAGATGCAGTCCGGGAATTTTTCAGTAGTGGGAGGCTCTTAAAGCAATTGAACCACACTACGCTTGCTCTTATCCCTAAATCCGATAATGCTTCTGCCGTTGGTGATTATAGACCCATAGCGTGCTGCAACATCGTCTATAAAATCATCTCAAAAATCATTGCAACAAGGCTGAGCTGTGTTCTTGACCTCCTTGTGGATAAAGCACAATCTGCCTTCATCAAAGGGAGAAACATCGGGGATAACATCCATCTGGCTGAAGTGCTGCTTAGACAATACCAAAGAGCCAGAACTGCACCTAAATGCCTCATCAAGGTGGACTTAAGAAAAGCCTACGACTCCATTAATTGGACTTTTATTGGCGATATGCTGACTGAGCTCCACTTCCCTCCAATATTCCGAGCATGGATAATGGAGTGTGTATCTACAACAGCATACTCAATTTCTATCAATGGAAGCTCTCATGGTTTCATCAAGGGCAAGAAAGGCCTTCGACAAGGGGACCCCCTGTCCCCCTTCCTATTTGTTCTCTGCCTTGACTATTTCTCTAGACTCATCAAGAGTAAAACCATGAACTCAGAGTTTAATTTCCACCCAAAATGCGATAAAAACAATATTACTCATTTAGCTTTTGCGGATGATTTAATGTTGTTTGCTAGAGGGGACTTGGGCTCGATTTCAGTGCTTACCGGCTGCCTTAGCATACTTGGCGATACTACTGGGCTAAAAATCAGCATGCACAAATCAAATATCTATCTTGCTGGTGTGAAAGAGCAGGAGAAAGCAACCATCCTTGACCATCTGCCTATCGCGCACGGGACTTTCCCTTTCAGATATCTGGGCATACCTCTGGCGGCCTCAAAACTGAAGGTATTACAGTATTCCCCTCTGATCGAAAGGATAAGGAAACTTATTGATAAATGGAGCGGAGCCACTTTATCCTATGGAGGAAAAATTGAGCTCATTACTTCAGTAGTGCAAGGGGTGGTGTGCTTTTGGCTCTCATTGTTTCACATTCCCTCAGCTGTGGTATATTGTATTCAGAGGCTCTGCAGTATCTTTCTCTGGGGTTCAAACAATGCTACCGTCCAATGGAATGAGCTGTGCTTCCCCAAAACCGAAGGGGGGTTAGGGTTTCGAAATCTCAAGGTGTGGAATAGAGCGCTACTACTAAAAGAGGTTTGGAACATTCATTCGAAAAAGGATACCCTATGGATCCAATGGGTGAACGAGTTCTTCTTCAAAACAGTGGATATATGGGAGTGGCAGCCTAAACAAGATTCACCACCGCTACTTAAATCACTCGCTGGGACCATCAAAATATTGGTCACAAAAG